AGGTCAAACTGTGTAGAAAGAGATGTATGCCAGAGGTTTAAGACAATTTGGGAGAGTGGTGTCATTGAAGCCCAATGACAAATCTAGCTAGTCTGGGACTCTTGTGCAAGGGGTCCCCAAGAGATGAGTGCTGTCAATAGTCAAAGCTAACCCCCCTCCCAAGGGTTATTCTTCTGTCTAGAGATGGAAGTAGAAAGAGAGAAAACAGAGAAGACACTTACCTTCAACTTGTTCACTGTTACGGTGGTATGGGTGGAGGGAAGGAGAGAGAAAGAGAGAGAAGAAAAGCGAGGTGAGCTTGAGTTTCTGACCTGGGACAGACATCTGTAGGTACCAGGGGTTCTATTCCACCAGTAAGGGAGGCGGCCATACACCAGTGTACTCACGTTTCCTCGTCAGACATGGTGGCGGTGAGCTGTGTCTGAAGAGGGAAAGACAGTAGATGGGACAGTTAGGAATTGCCTTGGTTTAGAAGCCTCACCAGGGGCCAGGCTCTCAGAGATTGGAGCCTAGAGGGGATGTCTATAAACTGAAATTGAGGACCACCTCTTGGTTCCCTTAATTTGCCCTTCTCCCCATGACCCCCTTCTTCCTTCCCTGGATCCAGCCTGGAACTTAGATTCCACAACTGACTTGCTGTTGGAAAGTTGTTGTGTAATCCCACTCTGGAAAGACGTGCCCCCTGCAGTATTTTCACGGAAAGCCATCCAAAATGCTTTCTCAGGTCAGGGGTAAGAGCTACAGGGCCCTCTGGATCTGGGGACACCTTGCTGGTCTGAGTTGATGGCTTTTGGCCAGGGAATCACCTCAAGATGGGTGAGCCCAGCTCCAAGGCTACAAACATTCTCAGTCTGCTGGCTCCTCTTCCCTGAGTGAGACCAAACCTCATGTTTTTCTTGAGAGTCCAAATTCCTTTCAGGGTACCCCAGGTTCTTTTTTGTGCTCTCTGAAACCCTCTGAGGTACCCTTCAAATCACAGAGCCCATAAGTGTTCAGTCTCTTTGTCTCCTTTCTCATGAAATACATGAAGACTGAACGCACCAGGGGGGGTCTGAGAAACTTCTTTGCAGGAAGCCTGAGTTTGACATGCATGTCCCAAACAGACTGAGCACCTCAGATCTGCTAGCATGGTATGGTATCTGGGACTGGATGCACATGCTCAGGTATGGTGGCTACCAGAACAGAGACCTTGATGGTTCCTGTGAACTGGTCACTGTGTATGCCTGCAGTGCCTGGGGCCTGGGAACCTTCAAAGAACTGTATTAGAATGTTGACTTGAGGTCTAACAAACAGTGTTCATAACAACACAACACAGCTGACTTGAAGACAATAGCTTGGGTGCCCCCAGGGAGCACATATAAGAAAACGGTTGTTCAGGGGCTAAAAATGCCCCAGCAATTTGATGCTAAGGTGGGAGCTATTTCTAAGTCTTGTTGATAACATTAGCTTTCCCAGAACTACTGAGACTTCCTGCAAAATTAACCCACAGATGACTGGGAGGCTCTTGACCAAGCACAAGATTCAGCCCTGCGTCAACCCTGAGCCTCTGTGGGAGACTCCATCAACCATAAATAAGCTACCCAGAGCTGCCCAACTTTCTCACTTGGCTCTGATCCCTACCAGTCCTTCTAACTCCTCCTTTAATGCCCTCTGCATACCCTCCCAGGGACACTCTGTCATGTGGGAAGGTCAGTGGGGTGGAGCAGTGGCACTGAGACCCCACCCTGCTTTGCCCACCTCTGGTTTCCACTGGACCCACACACCTGTCAGCAGCAGAGGGCGGGGTAGTAGGGGGGTTGTGCATTTATAAGGAGCCAGTGGCAGCTGAAGTGTCCAAAAATAGGCACCAAAATTAGCGAGACTCCTCTGTCCTGAAACCCAAGATGGCCAGGGTGGGGGGCAGGGTACTGAGAGCAACCCAGCCATCTTGGCTTTCTTCCTGGCTCCTACAGGCATCCAGCAAGAGCTGCCTTGTACCCTTCCAAAGTGTGGTAGCAGTGACTCTCATTCCAGGTTGAGAAACTGAGGCTCCTGGTCATCTATAAAGCTCCTGAAGGCCCACTTGAGCATATCTGGGTCTCTGCACCCCCATTTCAACATCCCTGTAAGTTGGGGAGAGACAGAAGTGGGGTAGCAGGGATGGGACAGGGATGGCCAATCAATCAACTGAGAGGGAAAGCAGTTGTTCTGTGTTGAGTTCTGGCCTTAAAAGGGGGTTTATGAAAATAGCCTGTGAGGTCAGATTCCTTGGGGGTACATGCCAACCTCCAAAGGTAACCAAGCTCAAAGGGGGCCAGGAGGTTCTGCCACTCACTTGCTATGGGACCCTGATCACTTCCTGCCTTGGGCCCAGTACCCTCTGACCAACCTTGTCTGGCCCCATCTGCTCCAAAGATTCCCAAGAACTGCTAAAAAGTTCATACCCAGAAAGTTAGGGTCCCCAACCTGGAGGTTTCAGAAAGGCTAGGGCCTGGAGGACTAGGGTCTCTCGGGACCACCTGTTCTCCCAGCCATAAGCAAGATCAGATATGACCTTCCTGCTTAGGTCCAGGCTCTCCCATTCCCTCTGTCCAGCTTCAGCATGGTTTCTGTCTATCTTTGACCTGAACCTTAAAGTTCTGCCTCAGGGAGCCCCAGATACCTCTCCCTTTGAGCTCCTTCCTAGGGTAATAAGTCCATATCTGCAAAATGGCAAGAGTAGTTTAGGGACCAGAGCCCTAGGCTCCAGGGATGAGTTGAAATCCCATTCCTTCCTTAAGCCCAGAGGGGCTCCCACCCAGCTGCATTCCCGTAGGCAGTCCTAGAACTCTGGGTATTGTCCCTGAGTGGATCCTTGTCTCACCCTCTGCACCTTTCCCTAGATCTTACCTTAGGAGGGCTCCTTGCTCCTGAGTTTCCCAGGATACCCACTCCTCCCTACTTCCATGCCCTTTTATTCTGGTTTGGTGTCAGTTCTTCTGTGTCATCCCAAGGCTCAGCCACCATGCTTCTAGTCATCAATATATAATACAGCATGAGGCCCAGGATCGTTTGAGCGCCCCTTAGATATTAGGTACCTGACACCCACTCCTAGGCAGGCTGTTCGCACCCATACCCACCTGCAGTTGAGTCTGAGAAAGGCTGGGGGCTCCTTGTGGACAGGACCAGCAGCAGGCACTGTCCAACAGTCTCACCCCTTCATGTTATAGTGACATCTGATCTTCCCTGGCAGCCCATTGGTCAGCAGATGGGTGGCTGGGCATGGGTCATGGAGAGGAGGAGGGTGTGCCCAAGCAGGCCTCTGACCAAGTATAGGAATGCCCCAGAGGATGAGGCCCAAGGAGGAGAGGATGGAGGAGACATGCCTGGAGGAGGAGGCAAGGTCCCCAACTGTCCTAGAAAGGTGTCAGTTGCTATTTTTACCTACCCTCCCCCTCAGCAACGGGCACATGCTTGATGGGCTGAAGGAGGAGGAATGGGTTAGGTGGAGCCAAAGGGTGTTTGTTCTTGAGCCAGGCTGGTACTGGGAAGGGTCATCAGAGCCTGGGTTTCAAGTTCCTTGGTCCCCTGCTCCTCTGCCCAAAGCAGCTTGTAGGAGTAAGTGCTTTGGTCAAGATAGGGGTCTAACTCTATGTGGCACTCCTGTAGCTCTGCCCTACGCCTCTATCATAGAGACAGCTCAAGACACCCATAGAATGAAGGACCTTGAATCCTTGGCTTGCATCTCACCAAACCCCTTAGGGGTCAGCCCTATTTTTATTTTTCAAGTAGACAATATTGGAACACATAGCATGAAAAGAAAAGATAAATAATGACCTAAGTAAACCCTATGGTGGTTGTCCATCTTCCCCAGTGATTGGGGAAAGTTGGGTCATTTTTGGGCCTGTTATTGGTCTGGGGGTTCCCAACTAAGTCGTAGAGATCTAGGCCTTGCTGGGCTCTGAGCAAGCTTGGCCATGTGCCTAGCCTTTCTTTCCTCAAGACTCCAGGGGGCACCATCCAACCATGGACATCTCTCCTGGGCCTTGTATGCCTGGATAGCCCTGCCTCTAGGGAAACCAAAGCACCAAACAGTAAGAAATCAACCTGGTACTTCCTACTCACTCCCTCAACCCTCCCAGACCCCCACAGGTTGGACACAGCTGGTAGGGTCCATGACTCTTTCCAGTTCAGGAGAAAAAAACAATGTGAAGTATAAAGTAATGGTAGGTGAACTCTGGGGAGATACGACACAGACAGGACTCCTGTTCTTTGTCATCCTAGGGATAGAGACATCAGAATGACCAGCAGGAGACTCACAATATCCCAGTCTCAGCTGGATCTTAGAGTTTCTGGAAGGTTGAGACTGACCCACCAACCACTTTCTACATGTTGGAGATGGGGCCATAGAGTGCCAGAGACACACAAGATCTCCCTTGTAGTCAAAATCAGGGTAGGAATAGTCTTCTAGCCACTGGCTCATAGAACAGGACTTCTCTCCTGCTCTACTCTGCTCTAAGCACCTGCCCTTCAGAGGCCCCCAAGCTGGAGCTGCTGGGCTACCCCAACCTTCCTGGCCAGAGCCTATGCTTCCCTCCACACCCACCCATGTTCTTGGATAGATAGGGTTTAGTGAGCTCCAAATAGCATAGATGCCCAGCTCAATTTGGCCTTGGGGAGTCATGTAGAGTTTATAAAGTTCCACACTGGTGTAAGGGGACTCAATCTATTCTGTGGTGGGGTCAGCCTCCTTTTCTTTCATCTGGCTTTACTGGGACCAAGCATATCCCTCAGCTGAGGAACACAGAGAACAAGCATGAGGAATTTGGTCCAGTCTATGTTGTCAAACCCCTGCATCCAGAAGCTCTTGTCTGAGAGGAATGGGGGTCTTTAGAGTTCTATAGGTGGGTGTGCTGCTCTCTCTGTAATGGCTCCTTTTGGCCAGCAGGGGAGAGTGGCTGCCCACTTCAGAAGTCTTTGGCAGGCACTGTCAGTGAGGTCAGAGAGACAGGGCAGGTCTTATTTTGGGTAACAGTCATCTCCTTCTCAGGGGACCAGGCCCAAGGTACAGCAGGACAGCATAGAGTGGGCACTGCTGGACCAGCTGCTGCCGGCCACTAAAGACTTGAACAGGTAACACATGCCAGGTAACACACAACAGGTCCTACTTGGCTTGGCTGGGGTTTGGTGGGGAAAGGAAACAGAGCGAAAGGCTTGTTGGGGATCTGGGAGAGGCCTGGAGACCTGGGGGGAGTGGGAGATAAAGTCTGTTGGGTGGGAGCTGGACGTTCTACCCAGAGCCTGAGAAGCAGTGGAGTTTGAGGTTTTGCAGAGTGGTTGTGGAAGATCCATCAAAGTTGGTGGATGAAGAACTGAGTCTAGAGGACAGAGGAGGTTGAGGAGGGCCTGCCCTTCCAGTGTCTTGGCTCCAGTAGCCAATATGGATGACTCCCAGGATAGTGGGGTGCTCAGAAGTCATTCAGTTTGGATGCTAAGCAGACTGGGAGTGGAAGAGTCCGTGGACCCTGAGCCTAACCCAGCACCCCTAGTTGACCCACTGTGGCTAGCTCCGCCAAGCCCAGGATAGGATTGGCTGACATGGCACTTGGGACTCAGCAGCTGTGATCTGGGCAGCAGCTGCCTCCCTGAATGACAGCTTCTCCTGGTTCTAAAAACATAGATTGGTATTAAGGCACTTCCCATGTTCGTGGGTCTTTACTTTGAGCAGGATGTAGAAGTAGAAGTAGCAGCTATTGGGCCCTCAGGAGGCAGGCAGGGCAGTGTCCTAGTGTCTTTGGCAAGGTGGGCAGTGTTATAACTGGAGGTAGACGCCACACCTGAGACCCAAGCAAGATTTAGCAGAGTGGTACTTACAGGGCACACAATGCACTCTCCTCTCAAGGCCCAAGAGCAACGCTGGGCAAGTCAGGGGAGCATGGTACAATAAACACTTTTCCCTCTGCCACTTGACAACCCATTCTGGTCCTATGCTAGAGTCTCATTCCCTGTCTCCTTAACCTTGAAACAGCTTCTGCCTGCTGCCCTTAGTCATCACCTCATCTGAGTAGGAAGGGCGGCGAGTGTCCTGTGTCCTGGGAGAAGCTCCTGGTTGTGCAGAACAGGACTCTATCACGTGGGGCTGTGAACAGGAATGGGTCCATCTACCCATTTAGCAGCTGTATCTGTTGAGCTTTAATATTCCAGCACTATGTGTTCCTACCAGTGGAGTTGGAAGCTTTCAGAAAGTCAAGATTCTGAATGTCTAGGTGGATGTCACTGTCAAGCTTAGACCATCATCAGTCAAGGATCTCCAGATTCTGGAAGCAACAGGGTTCAGAGACCAATGGGCAGGCCTGTGAGGGGAGGGAGCCCATGAGGACAACATCCTGCAGGCCAACTGTCATTCACACACTTGTTCAGCCACTATACATTCATTCATCCTCACAATCAGCTCTCACATTCACTACTTCCCATCCTTTCTCCTTTCTTTTTCACCATTTCCTACTCACCTCCCTATCCATCTACTCATCCATCCATCTATCCATCCAACCACTCAACTACTTACCCATCAGCATATCCATCCACTCATCATCTGTTCACCCATCACTTGCCACTATTCATCTACACACCCATTTTCCATTCACTTCTCCATCTACCCATCCATTCATCTACCCAGCCAGCCAGCTACTCATGAATCTATATATCCCTTTATCTACCCATCAATTATCTATTCTTGCACCTACACACTGACCCATCCATCCATTTATCTATCTATCATCCATCAATCCATTCACTTACCCATGAGCCCACCCACTCTTCCATCTGTCACCTATCACCCACCTGTCCATTCATGATGGATGGGTGCATCATCTATCCACCCATTCAGCTATTTAATAATCCATCAATCATTCACCCTTCTGCCCCTCCATCTGTCTTATCGTCCATTCATTTATCATATATCTACCTATTTGTCCATCCATCCATCCATCCATCCATCCATCCATCAGCTACCCATCCACCTAACTGCTCATCCATCCAACAATCCTTCCATCTACCTGTTCATCCATCACACTTCAGAGAACACCCTCAGGTACTGAGATGTGGAATGCCTGGTGGCAGTACTTGTCCTTAGTAGACACTACCAGGAAGAGACTGAAATGCTCTCGTTCAGGTGCTAGTAGGTTTATTTTTATTCAGGCAAGGAAGTGTCACCAATGTTCTGGAAGAGTAAGACACTCCATTGTTGATACCCCAACTTGAGTCACCCCATACCTAAGATCCTGGAGCATAACACACTGCAAGGTCATAGGACAAGACAGAGTGGTTGCCCACAGAGCTGATTTATGCTATGCAGTGTGAGGTGGTCAACACAACTTTCTGTTGTGACCACCTTGTTCCCTGTTAGTGAGCACAGGATAGCCAGTGCATGGGCCACTTAAGGTGCTTTATTACATAAAATGAGGGATATGCAAACAGGGAAGGGCAGGACTCAGAGTCCTGAGCATTCAGTATGGGGACAGGTATCCCTTGGATCTGGTTGGGATGCTGGCCTTCTCTCCTCCATCCTTCTTTGGGAGCTCTTGGCTCCTCTAGAGGGTGGTTCCTTTAGCTGATGATGAGAGGCAGAGTTGGGAGAGTCGGTAAAAGATTGAGAGGGCATAGAAGACAGAGGGTCCAGGAGCAAAAGGAGGGGAGGTGGCAGTTGGGCTGTTGGAGGCTCCAGAGCAGGCCAGAATGGCAACAGGAAGCAACTTCTCGGTCAGGGCTGGGAGTGGCATCTGATTGGAGTCTCTCCTGGGAACATAGGCAAGGGCATAGGGTGCATTAGGCTGAGGTTGAAGGAAAGGCATGGCCTGCTCCTCTCTATGATCCTACCTTCCTAGTGGCCATCAGCCCTCACCATATCCCTTCTTATCTGGAGAAGAACCTGCTTACAGTGGTCAGTCACCTGGGAGACCTTCTCTCAGGATGAACTCTATTCTGGGCCTAGGCTTGCTCAGAAGGAATACTCACTGAGGCAGCCCCCTTTAACCAAATCCAAAGACACCCCAATCCTCAAGTCCCACTTTCCTAAATGTAAGCCAGAAGCTGAGCGTAAGTGTGGGATGACCCCTCCAGCCCCCCTGCCATGTTTGTTCTTGCTTCAGCAGAGCCAACTCCTATTGCAGCAGTCATAGACCTCCTTCTGCCCCAAACCATATAGCCTCCAGTTCAGCCCAGATGCCATTTGTCAATGTCCTTGCAAACACGTGGCGCCCAGAAACCGAGACAGGCAGCTTGGCCAGGACCACCCTTGGCAGGAGGGCTGTGGGGATATCCCATTCAGCATAGCTCAGCGAAAACTGGTCCCATCTTCCGGCCAATCTACCTCTAAGGATACAGCCTCAGCTTGCCTGAGCCTTTTGGCTGCCACCCCTCACCACTGTCTCAAAGCACACGGACACGCCTGTGGTCAGACTGGCGACGGCATGGCGCCCCTCACGTGTCTGCAGGCAGCCTGCCCTCTACCACTGTCCGGCAGCTGGCCAGGCACAGGCAGTTGGCTTGCAGTTCATCAGTGGGTCTCTGTTCCCATCCTGCACTACTCTAGATCTGGGTCTAAGCTGGTCCGTGCAAATAGGGTCGGCTTTGTGCTGGGCTATCATAGAGGACAGAGCCCTGAAGGCAGGTTTTAGCCCTTGTCACCCACCAAGTGACCTGGAGTCACTGTAAGTTCGCCTCTACACCAGGGTATGAAGAAGCCACCCACAGTGACTAGTGCATAAGGTTAGAAGGTACTTGGCAGTTTTGGGGGAGCCTGGGAAGTAAGCTTCTAGGAGCTGAGTCTGCAGATTCTCCCACTTCTTCATAAAGTAGGCAAACACCTAGCCCATTCTATGGGCAAAAGAGGGGGTCAGCCTGACCACTATTTCTCCCCTCTACCCAGACCAGGAATGCTCATTTCAGTTGTGTCGATGCCTCCAGCAGCAAGTGGCCCGAGATCCGAGGCCCACCCTGGGCCCCCACCACCCTTGCTGCCCAAACCGGGAAGAGACAACCAGAGACTTCAGAAGCTACTGAAAAAAGCGGCTCGGAAGAAAATGGTGGGAACGACTCCCACTCCACCTGGGGCCTTCCGTACTTCCCTGTCTCCCGTGAGTGAGGCCAGTCATGACCTGGAGACCACAGTCCAGCGTCCTGCTGAAGTCCCTCACACGGTGGCCCCCCTACCCCGCTCCCCACATACCCCCATTATTCAGCATGTGGCCTCACCCCTGCAGAAGTCCACTTTCTCTTTCAGCCTTCCTCAGCAAAGATCTCTGGCAACTCATTTCAAGGTACCTCCTAGGCTTGAAGCCCCAGCCCCAGAAACTGCCTGGCCCCGCAGTGGCTTTGCCCATGTATCTGCCCCTACTGCAGGTGGTACCCACATCACCCAAGTGCAGATCCGGCTATCCCCATCCTCACATACCGGGACTTCTGAGTCCCCGAGGATGGCCCTGGATGGGGATAAAAGCCTTCCCACTGCTAGAACCCAGCCTCTCATCCCAGTGGCACATATCCGCCCCCTGCCCACCGGGGTGCAGTCAGTCAGTCCTGGGCCTGAGGAACCCCCTGTAACAAGGCCATCACCCAGCTTTCAGGCCTCAGTGTCCAGAGAGGCTGGTGCTAGGGTGGTGGTGCCCATAGCCCCTACCTACCGCTCATCTGGACCCTTACCTTATAGCCCAGCTCCTGCAGCTCCTGAAGCAGAGCCCCTAGAGGAGCTGTCCACAGCCAGCCATGCTATAGAGCCCAAGCATGTCTCCAGCCTCCTTGAAGCCTCAGGCCCCTCAGGCCTCCACCCATGCCCTGTTCCCAAAGTTGCACCCAAGCCCTGCCTTAGTGGCTGGACACGCCTAAAGAAGCAGCTGATGGCGGAGGCAGAGGATCCTGTATTTCCAGAGCCAGGGCTGAGCCTGGAACCCACGCAACCAGAGGTGTCAGTTCCTGTGGGCCCACAGCCCCCTGCCTCCAGGGCCTCTAGGATGTGGGATGCAGTGCTGTACCGCATGTCACTAGCTGAGTCCCGTAGAGGCCACCCTGTGGGGCTTGGAGATGGGGGGCACCCCCTGGCCTGCCTCAGCCACCTGCCTTTTCTGTGCCGACCTCGCTTTAATGCCCGGAAGCTACAGGAGGCTGTCCGCCCGCCTCCTACCCTGAACCCCATCCTGGAGCTGCATTCCCAGCCCAAGAACTTCAACCGGACAGCAGCAGGTTGGAGGCTCCAATGACGTAGCCAGAGGAACTTCTGGGACTCTCTGGACTGGGGTGGACAGAGACTGACTGAGGCTGAGGATACAGAGAAAGGGCCTCAGTCCTCACAAGTGAACGCAATGGGTCAGAATGGTGCATGGCCATGGCAGCTAGCTGATGGCTGCTAAAAGGAGCCTATTGGATGGACACAGATGAGTTGGTGGAAGCAGAAATGACAAGTGAGAGAGAAGGAGGAAGCCAGGAGCATGTGGCTGGAGGCAGTTTGGGGTTATGGAGGAGATTGACGGTTAGAGAATGTTCATGGATGGTGGGAGCCTGACCTTAGGACCAGGGTTCATGGAGGGCTCTAGGCCCAGTGCAAGCTGGTTTGAATAAGGGGTATTCAGAGGTTCATAGGACCGGGCAGTGGAGAAAAGATGTCTTGTGGTCTCATGTGTGTTTCTTCTGATTTCCTGCCAGTAAGGCTTACTGAGTAGGACTGCACTAAGGGCAGGGCTTAGTGCAAATCACACAACCAAGTTTCAACAGTTGGGTAAGGACAGGCCAAGCCAGAGGGTCATAAAGAGGCAGGGGCCAGGCACTAGGGGGACATCTTCCTTAACATCTTCCCAACTCTGATAGAACATCGGCTGTGAGAGGAGGGACCCAAAGGAGCCAGGAGAGGCTCCATGTCACAGCTACCATAACAGGATTCAGCAGGGGTTGGGCTGGCAGTCCTACCTGGGATATGACGGGTACGATGGCTGTAGCTAGAGCCACCAATAAATGTATGTATACCTACACAGGCATCATCTCTGTGTTCTCCATGGGTTAGGGAGAATATCAAGAGTCCCTAGGGGCCTTCAGCTGGGCAGGAGGCAAGCCAAGGTTCCACCTTTTTTACTGTGTGTATGATAATCCACACTTTTGGAAGCTTTGCCACACTTACTCAGTTTCTTCAGGTTCAGCCCACACTATGATGAGCCCCCTGGATATGATAGGAATTCCTAAATGGGAACAGTACTGGGCCAACCTGATCCTGCTTGAGGGGACAGAGTTCCAGACTTCAGAGAGCCAGGAAGACAGATAGAAGATATAGCAAATCTAAGACCATGCCTCCAGCCCTCAAGACCTGAGATATAACTCATCCATATCAGTATGTTCCCCGGAAGACCCATTTTGTCATGCTCTGGTCCTTTGACTCACCAAGATACATCCATGGTCTATGGTGCTGAGCCCTCATCCACGAGCACTTTCTCATACTTCCCATGTCCAGTGGCCACAAACTTGTACCTCTTTCCAGCTGGGGTGCTCTGTTAGGTGAGACCAAGCGTTAAGGAGATAACTATAGCAGGGGGATGCTGCTGCCTCCAGGAAGTCTTTTAGGATGGGACGCAGTAGCAGCCATATTTGCTCACTACTAGCCTGTGCCTAGCACATACAAACCTACCTACCTTGACGGTGGATGAGATCTTGGAGCTTCCTTTCTGCTCCCACAGGCTTTTCTTGCTCATGTCTCCAGCTACAATATCCTGGGGGCAGACACAGGGCAGGGTGTGTCACAGAACAGATAATGGCCAAGGGCCTTTTCCTCTGCCTGGTATTTTCTGGCTGGAAGGTTGGAGGACCTACCCACCTCACTTTTGGCAGGGAGAAAAGAAGAGTCATGCTGCCTGTTTATCAGGACAACATGGATTTTTCCTTGAGTCTTGAAACCTATCCCATGCACACTTCACCTTGGCTATCCCAGGTTTGCCTTTCCAAAGGACATCCCCACCCCACCCAGCCCCGTGATAGCTAATTTTCCATGCTCAGCCTTCCCAGTTTGGCCTGCCCGGGAAGGAATCCTACCTGGCAGGAGGGTGTCTTGGAGGCAGACTGAGTCTGTACCTCTCCTGTCTCCCAACGAGTCTTGGTACTGGCCACAGCCATGCTGGGCAGCTCTATGGAGGGCTGTCGGGACAGCTTGGGAGTTCGGCCAGCAGACTGCAGAGGAGACAGAGCCGCAAAACAGTTACCATGGTGGACTTCAGCAGCCCTTGTTTGTCTTTGTGCTTGCTGGAGGTAGGGATTCTGGACAGATGTCCTATCCTTCATTTTGGTGCCCCATGAGCTACCCCCAGTTCTGAAGGTTTGATGAAGGAGGAAGAGTATAAAGACGAATGTTGCCTGAATAGAGGGGTGGTGATTGGATGGACAAGTGCTAGTTGAGGAGACAGACACTGGGCACAGGGTACTAGTTAGAAAGGTACTGGTCGGATGGAGGGGTGTTGGTTAGGTAGAGGGGTATAAAATGAAAAACAGTGCTGATGGAGGGGTATAGGTTAGATGGAGGGATGTTGTTTGAGTAAGTGGGCTTTGTTAGACTGAGGGAGTATTGGCTGCATGAGGGTGTGTTGTATGGGGTGTGTGACAGGACAGAGGTATGTCTGTTGTGATGTGACAGACCTAGGGTTGGAGGAAGAGGCAATGTGGGTTGATAGAAAGACACTGGTTGAGTAGAGAGGGTATAACGGGATGGAAAGAATGGCTTAGGTGATGGGCATTAGGGTGATGATGATGGCTTATTAAGGAGGAGGCTTGGCCTTAGAGAACTGAGTATACTTCACCTCAGTGGCCTGGGTATACTGCTGCAGGCGCTCATCAATTGTGGAAATGGGCAAGGTTGGTTGGGACCTCTTCACACTGTTGCTGCAGGGGGGGTAGAATAAAGGATAAGCCTTATGTTCCTTTCCAAAGTCCTCCCAGCCCTGCAGGGCACTTCCCTGGGCACCACATCCCTGATCTCAACCCACAGCTGCTATTGCACGTGTCTTTGAGAAATGCCAGAAAGCAGATAGACACACCTCTTCTTTATGGAGCGATTCAGGGACTCGGTCCTATCAGCCAACTGTGGAGGGTGCAGAGGTTGGGTCATCAATACCCACACTAGGCTCATAATGCTTCCCCCAATGAGTCTACCCACTGACCCAACCCCATTTCCATATCACAGGGGTTTACCAGTGCAGCAGGGGATGAAGAGAGCGTGAACAGTGGACACAAGCAGGGAGAAAGGAAGTACTCAGGCTTCACCTACTTTGGTGGTGGGGCTTAGGGGAGGTGAACTCGGTTCAACAGTCTCCTCCAAGGCCAAAGGGCTGGGGGTCCTGGCCTGATGACTTGTCAGGTTCTAAGGGTAAGAAACACAGGCAGCTTAGCTGACCCCTCCCTGCACCCTCCTGCCCCACCCAGGGCCTGTTGGAGCAGCGGTCTTCCCCTCTGGGGCCTCAGACCTGCTCTGGCCCTGACAAGCTACAGCTCTGGAATCCCTGACTTCAGGGAAGAGTCTCTTGGTCATGGAGGAGGAACTTGCCCAGGTCACCGGATTCACCACCCTCCAAGAATGTGTCCTGGAAGGACTCAAGTACAGTGTTGTGAGTGATGTCTCTTCTAGGTCACTCTGAGACCACAGCACGCATAGAGTATCACAGACCCAGCCCCTGGGGGATCCTTCACCTCTTACCTCTTCTGCCTCCCCACAACTCCCAACAGCATCCTCTGGATTGGGCTCTCCCTGGCTCAGGTTTAATTCTTCCAGATGGACTTTGACTTGTTGAGACCTGTGGGAGAAAAGGGAGACAGAGGCAATTGTGGAGGACAACTTGTTGCTTGGTTCTAGGCTACTTCCAGTTCCAAGCCTCAGGCGTGTTATCTCTAAAATGGGGGCAGTCCAATGAGTTGGTCCACAGAGCTCTTAAGACGCCAGTGATTAAAAAACATTGTGTGTGTGTGTGTGTGTGTGTGTGTGTGTGTGAACATTTATTTACTTATTATTTAAAGAGACAGGGGTATGTCAGAGGACATCTTGAGGGAATCAGAGTTCTTCTTCCTCCATGTAGGTCCTGGGGCCCTAACCCTTGAGCATCTCAGCACACAGCACACATTTCATAGGTCTAGCCATAGCACTTTTACAGAAGGATATGTAGGGCTTTGTTCAACACCAGCACTGTCCTAAGGCCTCGGTACGAGAGGCCCTAGAAGGCTCTGTAAAGACATTGGCCACTGCCCACTCCTCACAGTACAGGGCCACCTAAGTGCTGACTGAAGCTGGACACCTCTTGCAGCCCTCTGTCCTGTCAAGTTCAGCTTCTGGGGGCTTTTGTCCTGCTCATATGGGGGCAGATGGGTCAGCAGAATATAACATTGAGGAGAGGCCACTGGGGGCCCATGCCCAGAGTGTTTGGGGATGCTGTGTCAGTGGGTGGAAGAAGCCAGGGAAGGGACTGCATTTCTGAGGCGAGGGGCCTTGGGGAGGGGCAGCTTGCCAATGGGCGGCCAGGCGTGACTCTGCATTTGAGTGGCTCTAAACCTGGAGGAGAAGATAGTAAATCCTTGTATTTTCCATGATGTCAGGCCCCTTGGTGTACGTGCCAGCCAAAACCCAAACCCACCGCCCAAGGTGGGCTGGGGTCCGAGCCAGCAGCAGCCACACAGAGGGGCCTTTCAGGAGCTGGCGGGCCAGGCAGCCAGGCGGGTTTGAGGGTAGGGTGGAGGCTGCAGCACCAGAGTTCTGCTGGAAGATCAAAAGTGCCCCCTGCTGTTGAGCAGGAGAAGAGAGTGAGCAGAAGGCAGGGCTGTCTAGCTGCCTGCCTAGAAACCCAGAATATGCACAAAGCACACAGGTATGTAAGGGGAAACTGAGGCTGGTGATGGGCAGACCCAGGATAGTTGACAATGGACAGGCTCAGAACCAGGACCCCAGAAAAACAGGGGGTCTTTGGAATACAGAGGATGATTGAAGCTGAAGGTCATTACATGAGAAAGAGCTGAGCTGAGCTGAGCGGTTGCTCTTGCTGGCTCAGGGGCCTCCCAGGGGCCAGGAAGGGCTGGATCACTGAGGAAGACAGCTCAGCCTTTGGCTCCAGCCCACTCAAGGCAGTGGGGCCCTGGTCTCCAATTCTGGAGCTCCTTTGCAGGGCTGGAGACCCTCACTGCAGAGTCCTGATGGGAAAGGCAGATTTATCCTCACACCTGGCCTTGAACTGGGGGGAAGGCAAGGTGAGACTTCATCAGCAATCCCTCATCTCCAGACCCAAGGGGGCTTTGGGCCCCCATTCGTCCTGATTTAGACAGGCATACACGTCCACACATCTGGAAAGCGTGTCCCCTGGGCCACTTCACAGGCGCACATCTGGAAGTACCTGCTCCCCTTCGTGGGAATGGAGCTCAGCCAGCCCGGGGAGGGCGGGCGGGCGTGGGCTGCAGCGCCTACATTACGTAAGTGGGCTGCAGCTGTGTGCTGATGTGGCAGCCCCCCACCCCAGTTGGCCACAGCTGGCCAGGATGGGGCCCCCAGCCCTGGGGAACCCAGGAATGTAATGTCCTCACCGTTCTCTCCCTATAGCCCCCTCACTGTCCATCCTGCCAGCTGTCTCACTTTCTTCTCACCTCCCTACCTGCTTCACACCCTCTGAGCACCCTGGGAGGCCTTTGGGGAAGGACAGACAGAAAGAAAGTGTCCAGGCCCAGGCTGGAGTCAGAGAAAGTCGGTGCTTTGTCCAGCCTGGTCCACACTTGCCTGTCCTCTGTCTGCTGCTCCTCTGGACTCTCACTTTGAGAGGGCTCACAACCCTCTGCAGTCCCCTCATTCTCCCAGCATTGCTGTCGTTGCTCCATCTTTTGGGACCAGTCACCAAAACCCTCATCTTCATCCAGTTCAGAGGACTTTAGGCTGAGGCTGAAAGAGCCGGAGAAAAGGGGTTAGGGAAAGACATGGTACAGCCTATGTTCCTTTCCTTGTCTCTTCCCTCAGGCCCTGACTCCCACAGTGGGCCACCATCTGCTTCAAAGGTAGTTCTCCAAGGCTGTGTTCTGTCACCTTGTGGTGAGAGAATCACCCAGGGTAGAGCTGTGGCTTCTCTAGAAGTCTACAGCTTCCTGAGAACAGTGCTGTCCCTGAGGGCAAAGCTATTGCTCCACCATCTGTCTAGGGTTCTATGATAACAGATCTACAGCTCCACCATCAGTCTAGGACTCCCTGAGGAAAGGGCTATGCCTCAACCATCAATCTAGGACTCCCTGAGGAAAGGGCTATGCCTCAACCATCAGTCTAGGACTCCCAGAGAACAAAGATGTGCCTCCTTCTTCAGTCTATGCCTCCCAGAGAGTAGAACCATGCCTCTACCATCAGTCTAGGACTCCCTGAGGAAAGGGCTATGCCTCAACCATCAATCTAGGACTCCCTGAGGACAAACATGTGCCTCCTTCTTCAGTCTATGCCTCCCAGAGAGTAGAACCATGCCTCTACCATCAGTCTAGGGTTCCCTGAAGGCAGAGCTATGGCTCCAACATCAGTCTAGGGCTCCCTGAGGGTAAAGCTATGACTCCACCATCAGTCTAGGGTTCTATGATAACAGATCTACAGCTCCACCATCAGTCAGTACTCCTTGAGAGCCAGGCTATGCCTCCCTCATTAGTCTATGACTCCTCAAGAACTGAGGTATGCCTCCTCCTTCAGCAGAATGTTCTCTGAGAGTAGGGCTATGCCTCCCCCATCAGTCTAGGGCTCCTTGAAGGCCAGGCTATCCTGCTCACATTAGTTTAGGGCTCCCTGAAAGCAGAGATATTCCTCCCCCATTAGTCTAGGTCTCTCCTCTCAAGCCAGGGCTCCCTGAGGACAAGGCTATGCTTTCTTTAACAGTCTAGGGCTCCCTGAGGTCAGGGGCTGTACTTCCTTCATCAATCTAAGGCTCCCTCAAAGCATGGTTCTGCTTCCTTCTTCAGTCTAGAACTGTACAAAAGAGGGCTGTGCCTTGCCCCCATCCTTCTCGGGTTCCTTGAGGCTGCTGTGGTTCTTGGATGGTCCTCACAGACTTTCTCTAGCATCAGGGTGGGCTACTGGGCAAGAAGGGGTTGGGGGCTAGCAAAGACCCAGTAACTGAAGACCTGACTGAGAGGCCATGACCCCTACAGCACCCCACCCCGCCCAAAGCTGCTGACTCCGAGAAAATGGAACAAAACAGGGCCAGGAGGAAGGGGAGAGTTATTGGAAAAACAGCCCAGCCCAGCCGCGGAGGCCTCCTGGGCCCAAGGAGGAAACGAGCCGGCCCATGGCCGCCAACTTGGACTTGGCCTCCGTGAGTCACCGGCAGCCAGGAGTTTAGGCGGGGGGCTTGGGGGCCAGGGCCTCATGGCTGGGGTCAGCACCAGTCCAAGCCAGGGCTGGAGCCGTTCAGGGTGTCCAGATCCTGAGTCAGGGCCTCTGGAGGCTGGTTGGGAAGGGAGGGCCTCACATAACTTTGTGGACCCTCTGGCTAGTCAGCATCCCACAGATGGTGTTTACTGGAGACTGCAATGACCTTTTTCCCATGAGCTGGTCCCTTTCTCTAATTCCTACACCTTGGCTCCAAGTCTAAGGCCTGATTCCCAGTATGTGCTTCTGCCCAGGTCCTATGTGGCAGTAAACAGAGGTCCAAGCCCCAGAAACCTACAGTGCCTGCTGTCCTGGCTGTCCCAGAGAATGATCGCCTTCATCTTCATCTTTGTCCTGGTCCTGGTCCTGCAGCTGCCTCTCTCGCTCCCGTTGGCGCTGCTCACGGGCAGCCTCTTCTTTGTCTTCTTCTCTCCACTGAGTTGTGAGCCTGGAGGGGCAGACACAGAGAAATAGTTATGCTACATGACAGACAATCATGCCATGAGTGAGATGACCAGGGTAATGGACAAGCCCTGCTGCTGGCAGGAAGGGTAAGTCCCTGGGCCAGTCTGCAGGCCTCAGTTTACTCTAAGATGAAGGCTATGCAAAGCAGTTGTGAAAACGCCTCTGGCCAAGGGGTTAATCCCAGGGCTCTGTCTACACAGGCGACCCTCTGAGGAGGGAGAAGATATCGGCGTCCACATAGGCTTCAGGCAACCCAGTGTTGGGACTGGCTGCCTCTTTTTTTGTTTTGTTTTTGTTTGTTTGTTTTGTTTTTTGAGACAGGGTTTCTCTATATTGTTTTGGAGACTGCCCTTGAACTCACTCTGTAGACCAGGCTGGCCTCAGACTCACAGAGATCTGCCTGCCTCTGCCTCCTGAGTGCTGGGATTAAAGGCCTGTGCCACCAATGCCTGGCCCCTGGCTGCCTCTTATGCTAGAGCAATTACCTTGTTCCATGTGGGGATCAGGAAGGACTTTGGGAAAGGTGACAGGGAGTCCAGAGAGAGAGAGAGAGAATCTTGGACATGGTCACCAGTCAGATAGTTACCCCTACAGTCTCTATCTGGAACTTTCCTTCCTGGTTCCTAATAATGGCATGTTGGCAGACAGTAGCCACCACACAGGGTCCAAGTGTGAGATTGCATCTAGTAGTTACCAGGTCAGGCTTTCTTTGTCATCCTACCAGGCCCTTCCTCTCTCTACCTTGCACCTAGGGACCTTAGAGCACCCACACTTACCCAAGGGTCCTCTTCACAGAGATCTCTCTGGGTTGTTTCAAAGGTAGGGAAACTGAGGCAAGCAACATATGCAACCCTCAGAGTATGCTGACACTCAGGCTCCTCAGAATCCCTTTCCTTAAGCCAGGCCACAGTCAGAGGAATCACGGTGGCCTGAGTCCAGGGGGTCTAGAGTCCCTACACAGCAAATCCATGTTGTTGGTGTCTAGTTGATACCTCAGGCCTTGGCCACTGTACCTGCCCCCCAACAGCTCCTCCATCTTATTTGGAGCTGAGAGGGGTTGAGAACTCTGCTTCACGGTTTCCTCTGCCCCAGGCCCAAGGTGCCTGAGCTACTCAGAGTCATGTCTCCCTTCTGGGGTCTCTGTGCTTCCCTGGTAGTGTCCGCAGAATGACCCCACAGCCCGCTCCCCACTGGGCCTCAGTCCCCTGGCCAGGAAGCCCTGCCAGCACATGATCTAATCTCTCCAGGTCTCCCCTAAGCCTTTCAGACGAAAGCCAGGCCTCTCCACAGGCTCCAGGATGAGGTTCACTCCTCCCTCATCCCCCCACCTCCCTCCCGCCCGCCAGCCACATGGGACTCCAGCCACGCAAGCTGCCTGCCCGCTCCTACCCCGCACCCCAAGCCGAGCTGCCTGCCTCAGCCTCAGAAGGGCCTTCAACTTCCAGCCTGAGAAAGCTCCTTAATTCCCTACACCTGGCTTCCATCACAGGCAGATGCCGAGGGCCTCCTGGTTCTCCCCATGGCCTCAGCCAATGTGGGGGCCGCTTTTTGGACCCTCTCCACCTGGTGAAGTAGAGCTCTGTGCTCTGGGGGTTGCTCCTTGAACACACATTTACCAGAGGCCCCCCAAAAAATGCCAGGGCAGAATGTATGGGGAGTATTCTGCCTGCTTCTGAGGCAGACCATAAAGAGATACCCCTGTGGGGTGGGTTTGTTCTTGTTTTCTGAATCTATGTATGTGCAGAGTAGGTATACATGTGGTTGAGTCTATGTGCAAAGTTCTTGTGTGTTGTGCAAGCACTCAGACACTTGGGTGGCTGTGTAAGAGACTGAGGCACAGGACTCATTTAGCTCAGCTCTGTGAGAATAGCTACCTTGAATTGGGGGGGGGGGGGGGTGTCATCTCACTCTGAATGGAACCAGAGAGCCTTGCCTATTCTACCAAGCACAACCTCCCTGCTAGCACATTGTGTGCAGGACCCCTTGGGGTACTTTACTCTTGGAGCTGAGGGTCCAAGCTACCACAGCTTGTCACCAACACACAAAGCCTGAAGAAAAGGGTTGTAGGGGTTTGGCTTGCAACAAGTATAGGGACTAACACAGAGCCCCAAACTTAGTTCTCTCCTGAGTGCAGGACACATACACATCTTATGTGGCCACGTAGGCACTCCCACGCAGGCCCTCCCACGCACGTGCTCACACATGAGTACACAGGGTCACCCTCAAACGTGTGCAGGCAAGGGTAGGGAACAGGGGATCACAGACAGCAGGTCCCACCCCTCCCAAGCTCTCTCAGGGGGCCCCTGCCTCACTATTTACTGTTTTCCTAACCATCACCCCGACAACGTGGTGCCGGCCTGAGCCTGGGACTGGCAGGAGGCCAATGTGTATTTTCTGGGAACATCTTTTGTGGGACCCACCCCCCCCTCCAAAGTTACCCTAAGTTAGCCCTCCCTGAACGAAGTCTTGGAGACTGTGGGGTGCAGGATAGGGGTCTACTAGCATCACCCCTCCAGGCCCTTGCTGGAAAAATGCTTGTCCCAGCTCCTGACCCTGCTCTGAGGCTTAGCAGGCCTGGGGCCCCTTTCCCCTGCCTCTTCCCTCCTGCCTGCCTCAAGCAATGAGTAATGCGCCCCCTCCCCATGACCTCACCCCGTCACTATTCCACAGCTGGGCTCCGTTCTGGGAACTGGAAGGGGGTGGCTCTCCTGGGGTGGGGTGGGGTGGGGGCCTCTGGCCTGGGAAAGGCGCCCCCCGGCCAGCGGCCCAGACCCCTTGGCACGTTCTTCGGAGCTGTCAAGACTTTGGCGATGGCCGCCCCGCCCGTGGCCCTGGCCCCGCGCAGCTGCAAGGGATTTGGCGTTCCCGTACAAACGCAATCAGGCCATTTCCTGAGTCTGTTCTGGCTCGGGGGGCCCAGGGCTCAGCCTAGGGGCTGTGGAGTGGGGCCCTGTCCCCCCCACATCCTGCCCACACTGTTACAGGGCTTACCACAGGCTGGGGCTGGGGTTGGAGCTCGGCCTGGAATTGGGGCCCCACCCAGTGTACTAGGGTGTCCAGACCCTCACCAGCTCCCACTCTGAATGGGGCTCTTTAACTCAAGGCAGTTGCTCCTGTCTCTTGTACCCCTACTCAGTGTCTTGTTCCTCATCATCCTCTGTACCCTTGCCCCCTCTCCTGCTGCCTAGACCCTGCTGAGAGCCCAGCAGTGCCTATCCTGGGTCCAACCCTCCCAGCTGCCCACCCTCTTTGTCCTCCCAAGGATAGTTCCAAAAGGTTGACAGGCTTCAGTCCCTGTTGCAATTCTGCCCCCTGCAGGCTGCCCATGTGACTGCCCCTTCCAGCCAGCTTGAGCCCAAAGGTCAGTACTTGCACTGTCCTTACACTCTTCAGGGGAGCTAGAGGGGACTGGGGAGTGGGATTATGCAAGGATATCCCAGGTGACCTTCTCCCTCAGATTACAGGGGACCATCTCACCACTGTCTCCTGGGTACCAGAGGACTGGAAGTAGTGAGGAGCCTGGGGCCAGCCACTAGGAGGGGTTGATTTGATTTTCTGAGACCACCGGGTCTCTTGTCTCCAGGGAAGTAGCTTCCCCAGCATCACAACACTGCCCATCAGAGGTTCACTTGACCTGAAAGTGGCTGCATAGCCCTTGGGAGAAGGGACAGAGCAAGGAAAGCCCTGGTGCAGGCTCCCAAAGATAGGTGCAGTCCTCTGAAGGTGGAACTCAGGGTCAGTCTTGCGTGATCGCTGTAGGCCCCCCTATGCCCCATGCATCTGAGCACCAGACCTTGTAGCTGCTATCAGCAGGACTCACTGGCTGTTGGATGCAGGGGTTCCATTCTCTGTGGATAATCTACAGAGGGATGTGGGGGTACAAATGTTCAATTGTCACCTACCCTGGAAAGAGGCACGGAGGTGGGTGTGTGGAGTGAGCTCAGAGTGCAGAGCCCCTGGTCAGTAGGTGAGTGTGGCATGGGACAGGCAGGACAGTACAAACTCCCTCTCTGAGGCTAAGGTTAGGATAAAGAAACCTGGTCCCCATCCGTGGACACCTGGCTCTGGTCCAGTCCTCCCTCCATCATCTTTCTAGCAGAGCATGGACACGGTAGGGTTATTTCTTTTCTTATTGTCAGGGCCAGGGTACGAAGGGTATATTTCACTGGGCAAGATGGTGTCTTCATCGCCCAGAAAAGCACTACAGTTATTTGGTTGAAGGGAGGGGCATGATCTGGCCCACAGTTGTGAAGGATGAATGGGACCTTTATGCCAGAGAGGAAGTGACACTAAGTCAAATGGCAAAGAAGCCTGTAGACCCCAGAGGGACTCTGTGGCCCACAGGGTGGCCCCTTGAGGTGTGAGCCGATCCCATACCTAGGAAGCCCTGGTTCTGTTCAGGGAGCTAGCAGGAAAGGATGGGGGAGTGGGATGCAGGCCAGAAGGAAGTGGGAGGGAGAAGCCAAGTCTAAGTCAAGATGGAATGGGGAACAGGAAGTGGCAATCAGAACAGCCCAGTGTCCATGACATGTATAGCAAGACCTGGGCCTCAGTTGAGAGAGATGTTGAATGAGACCTGGATATGCAGCATGGGGTGAGAGGATCTCTGGAGACAGTCGGTACTAGGTCATGGCTGGGGTGGAGATCTTTTAAGGGTCCCACAGAAACAGCCTGAGTAGGTCAGATGTAATGGGGTAGAGGTCAGGATTGGAGTAGATGGCACAGGGAAGACTGGATTGCCATACCCCTGGCTGCCTGGTCCCCAGGTCTCCCCAACCTGAGGCACTGCCCAGGTCAATGTTCTGTCCACTGTGGGCAGCATATGCATTCAGAAGATGAGGAAAAAACACCCAAGTTAATACCAGAGGCTCAGCCTCAGTGTCTTAGATTCCCAGGCCCTTGGTCACAGGTAACCTGGATAGCCAAGCATACTTCTGGGATCTGTGCTTCCCACTTTTAAGAATCAAGCCCTCTATTCTGTGCTGAGTGGTCTGCTCTTTCCTCAGGACACACAAGCAACCCATATTCTTGGGATTTGGTTAGTGTTAATCTGTGCAAGGGATAGTTCTGAAGGGTCATGGTAGCCAAGCCTAGGGGTGGGCCTTGGGAAGATTAAAAAATGCAGATTGGTTGGCTGGAACTATGGGAATGGCAGAAGGTTCTGGGCCGGGAGTGGAGATGTTCAGAGCCAGGAAGCTCTGGCTGCCTTAAGAGTAAAAGGGGAGCACAATAAGTGGGGAGTTGGCTGCTGTCACTGAGGCAGCCATCATAAGGACCCTCAGATGGGGATGTCACATGGAGGAAGCTACAGAATCGGGATGAGCATACCCGGCTCCTGCCCTGGAGAAAAGAAGGGAGCCAGCTAGCAGGTGGGAGGGCAAATTGGGGGAAGCCTATGGGTGCATGTCCCAGGGGAGCAAAGATGGGGTTGGAAGAGAGGGAGGAATGAAGAAATCCCCCCCAACATATATGTGGCCTCTACATAAGACTCTGGGGTCCTAGAATTTAGACATCCTTCAGATGGCCTCAGAGGAGGCTATGGACTCCAGCCCTCTCCTTCCCACCAGATGGAGGCGCTGTCCATTCAGGGTGGGCTAAGTGACTGCCACTCTTGGTACCCCTTGAATGCAAAAGGGTCTGGGGTTAGCGGGACTCATGGGGGACTGTCTTCACTAACTGACCTAGAACTGCCCACTTCCCTGTGACAGCTAAGGCCATGTGCCTCCCTCATAACCTGTGCTGTTGCCACAGGCCATATTCCGCCCCCAATTCTGCCTTTTCTCATGGGCAGCACATAGCATGGGAAGACATCTAGTTACCTGTACCCAGAACTCCCAAACCTGGCTTCAGCCTGGAGTTCAGTGCCAAGGCCTCTTAGAGAAGGCCATTCCTGCCTGTCAGGCCTGTCAGACCACAGCATGGGAGTCTTCCGGGCTTCCTCCTCTGCCTTTGTTCCATCGGATCTCTCTTGACTGCTAGATCCAAACCTCACCCAGACAGCATCTCTTTAGTTCTGTGGAACACAACAGGGAAGCCCCTCTATTTTTTTGCACATGAGGAATGGGAAACCTGAGGTTGCACCTGGAACTTACCACCGACAAGGGGAGTCAGAAAGACCAAGGCTTCCTCAGCTACCATCCCTGGCTCTGAAGGCCTGGTAATCTGCTCTAGCTCAATAACACCCTAATATCTACTATCTGCTCTACTGGCCCCCACACTAACAGCATTTACGTTCCTCAGACCTTGACATTGCCCTTTCCCCACACAGACCGCTCCCCCCCTTTCTTAAGCATTCCCCTTGCCCACCACTGCTCCAGTGTGTCCTAGTGAGGCTGCAGGGTCAACCCTGACCCTTTGATGTAGGTCAAGGGCCATAGAAGCAACCACAAGCTGCTCAGGCACACAGGGACATATAATTGACATGGTGTACTTAAGGCAAGGTATCATCATTGCCCATGCTGCCCTGGTGACATGGTGGTGGGAGGGGCTGCTGCTTCCTAGTAGTCAGAGCATACTTAAACACATAGACATCTGGGAGACATCTTTAGAATGAACCGTGATTTGGGGGATCTGGGGAGGGTAAGGTGTCCAGTGGCAAAGCTTGTTCCCCTCCATGGTACTCCCATCTTCCTGTCCTTAGCACGAAGGCATGTACTCCTGTCCCCATGTCCCTGGGTCTAGGCACATCCTAAATCAATTTGTTGGGGATCCCTGGCCTCTGAGGGGCTCTGCATGGGAAGAAGGTTCTTGTATTCATCAACCCTTACCCCACAACCTGGGGCTACCCACTTAGCATCTTTACCCCACAACCTGGGGCTACCCACTTAGTATCTTTCCACTTGCACACTCCTTCCTGGGAGCAGTGCACACTCAGGGGAGGCAGGTACCATCTCTCTTCTGGGTTGGAGAAGGCATGAATCTTGGAACCATACCTCAGGGAAGCCATATAATAATCTATCGAGGGACCACAAAAGCCCTCACAAGAGTCTTGTGAGTCAGATGTGGTCCATACCTGTCTATCTTACCATCTAAGTTACCTAAGCAGACCCCCAAGTCTGACTTGGAAAAGGTGTCAGACCCTCAGTGCCTCAACCTGAAGGTGTGGCTTTCTCAGAGGAATCTACAGCTGGGTTCTGCAGGGCCTTTCTCTAATATCTTGAGGCTGGAAAGTAGAAATGATGCAGGCCCCTCTATCCCACACCTCCGCCAGAGGCAAGGTTAGGGTTCTACCATCCAAGTAGGGTCTAGAGCTAAGCTGGTTGTTCCACTGATAAGCCCCCCCCTCCCCTGGGTCTGGGAACCCTACCTCTTTCTTATGAGTGCTTCCTGGTCAGCCCATTGCTGGCAGCTTCCTCACTCAGGACTCCCAACTCAAACATCTCTGACCTACCTGACCCTCAGGGCCGAGGGGTGGACATCAGGGCCTAGACCTCCCATCTGTCGCATCCTGTCATGACAGCGGCTTGTGCTGGCCTGAGCTTGCTTTCTCCCTTCACTGGGTCTGCACGCTGTATCCTCCATGTCACTGACCAGAACTGCCACAGGACCTAGGGCCAACTGCATAGCAGCCATGAGACCTCCCTGGTGCTCGCACTACTCTGCTGCTTAGAGATGTCTTCTTGCTGGCCCATTCATCACCAAACTCCTAGTGGGGACTAAGCTCAGAGAGACTGTGACTCGAAGCAGCAGACAGTCCTGCAGAATGCTCACAGGGCTCAGGAGGCAAGGCTCTGGCCCACTCCCTGACACGCGATGGTGGCTGTCACTGGTTTGAGACTTCTTTCCTCCCAGGCTGGTTGTACCCAGATCCACCTCCTCTCGAAGGCCTGTCTATGGCTCTCTTAACGGATGCCTCTCAAATGCCTCATCCTTCATCAGGCCACAGGTTTATACATTGTCTACCCGGACAGATGCATGGCAGGTGACAGCATGTAGCCAAGCCACTCCCCAAAACCATCATTCTAAGCCTGGTTCTGAGTACCCCATGTGCCCCAATTTTCCTGCTCCCCCCCCAGCAGCCAGATGAAGAGATGGGTGCTTATTGATTGCTTGCAATATTTTATCTGCTCTGTAGCCACATCTGAGCTCTTAGTGATACCCAGCCCTCAGGGACTGATCATTTCTGAGGTGCTGGGGGGAGGAAGGGGTCTATCCAAGGTTGACATGTCTCAAGGCCTGAGAATTCAAGGTCATTGAAGTAGAACCCAGCTTCAGCGTTCTCAGCTTCACGAAGCAGGACAGGGCAGGTCTCCTATGGGTGTCACATCAGCTGAGGCCAGTGGGACCTGCACTGGTCTCTGAGCCCACTTCCTGGCCAACACCCAGAGCTAAACTGAGCAGCCATATTTGGTTCTCACAGTATTTCCATCACATATGCTTAGAGAAGGGCAGCATCCTAGACCTGGGGGATCTACGGTCAGTGTATGAGAGAGTGACCCCTCCACACCCTCTGTGAACTAAATGTAAGGAGACAAGGCAGCCATAGGAGTTGAGGGACAGGACCCATGTCAGGGGATCCTGGTTCAGAAGGACTCTGGCCCCTCATTACCACAGATCTTCCCATCTGTTCTTTACCTTTCTCTGGCTGCTTTGCAAGCCTCTTCCCACAACCACCTTTATCCTTTCCTTTCAGTACCAGCCTCTCCCTGCCCAGGTCAGCCAAGTGAGGACAGCAGAGAAGGTACCCTCCCTCCAATGCTGGCTAGAACTCTCACCCCCCCCCCAGCCCCTGGCACCCATGTATCTTGTTCTCGTCCTACCTCCTACCTCTTTGTTCTTTCTTCTGTTTCTCTTTTCCTACCATGTAGGGCGCATTCTCTCATAGGACTTTCAAAGCCCCCAGGAGCATCCAATGTATTACTTCCCTGACACCAGCATCTCCAGGTTAGGCCCTCCATCTCTCTGAGTGCCATTACCAGCTGGCCTTAGCAGACCCTCATAGACACATTTCTGTTCCTTGGGACAGCAACCTGCACAGCCAGGTCTATGGTCTGAGGGGCAGGTCTGGTCTCACTTGGTACCAGAGCTTGAGAACCCTTCTCTGCCCATGGAACCACCTGGTGGGTTCTAACCCCAGCTGCCACCTGAAGCCCCTATACCTACCTGCAGACACTTGCCCACTTCAGCCCCTGTGCCCACCTGCAGCCCATGTGCCCACCTGTGCTCTGGAGAACTTGGTGGTCCATCCTGGCATTGTTCTCTGAAGAGATGCTCTGAGCCTGTAGCAGTGTCCCCGGGGACTGTATCCCTGCAGCTATCCCGAGGGTCCAAAGAGCCATAGGGTGTCCCCTCCTGACTCCAGCAGAAGCATGGGGCGGGTGAGTCTCTGGGTGCCTTGGCGCCCTGGTTGCTGTTTGCCGCCTGATCTACCCAGTTCTGACGCACCGGCTGGGACTGGAACCGGAACCTCAGTCCTCTGGGCTCTGGCCCTGACACCCTGCCCAGGGGGCTGGGCCACTTGGTCCCTGTACCCCCTGCTGCTGGCTCGGCCAGGCTCCAGGCAGGACAGGCTCTGGCAGACAGACCACCCGGCCCGTGGGGGTGCCGCCCACCGGCCACCCGGCCTGCCAGGGTGGGGCCACCCCACCCTCGAGATCTCGGCCTCCAATGGGCCCATGGAGCCACGCCTCCCTGGACACTGTGGTTGGAGGCCTGGCTTCCCCTCCCCCCAACGGGCCACCCAGCAGACTGCCAGTCCCATCTGCTACCCTCTGCCACACTGGGATCCCCAGAGATCCAGTGGGCCACATGTGGGTGCGAGCCTGTCTGAAAAGTCAGGGGAGCCATAGACTGATGCCATGCTATCTGTTGGCCGATGGGTGATGAGACAGGCTCACACCACCCAAAGGAGGCTTGGCTGGTGATGCCTGCCAAGGTGACTCCTGGCTCAGTTCTCTTAGGCCAGCATCAACCCAAGGTACTCCTGCCCAGTTCAGCTGCTCTTAAATCTAGGCCCCTGAGGACTGAAGAACCAGGTAGCCAGCTGAGAGCCCAGGTGACCATCCTTAACCCTGGCCTGAGCTATGGTGGATCTGGCTCCCCTGAGGCAGGAAGTGGGTACCCTAACCCCTAGCACAAGGCAGTAGGAGTAAAGCCTGGGATCTGGCCAGCAATATGTTAAGCCCTCAATTCACACCCAGGCTCAGACTAGGAGAGTTTCAGGGACATGCCATCTATTTTCCCACTAGTCCATAAAATTGTTTTTTATGAATTTACACTGGATTCAGTTTGCACCTTGGCCTCTGCTGGCACACAGCAACCTCTCTAAAGCTTGTCAAAGAAGGGACTGGCAGGGCTCTGCTACCAGGTGTGGTGAGAAAGCCTTGGGTTCCTGGGGAAGAATCCAGGCAAAGGCAGTTAATGACAGGAGGTAGGTCACCTGCTGAGTGACCTTGAGCAAGTCACTTGACCTCTCTGAGTCTACTTTCCTCATCTGTCCAGCAGAGACAAGGTGGAGACCTGACCTCCAGGACTGGGCAGAGTGGCCAGTGTTGGATGCTATAGACATGTGGACAGAAGGCATAATGGGGTCAGAGGTGGAGGGTGTCATAGTACTAGATGGTAGCATGCACATGTCTGCACATATGTGTGTACTCAAGTGCACATGAGAGGTGTGTCCCATTGCAGGACCAGGCTCTCAAAGATGCACAATTTAGCGTATATCCACCCTGGCCATCACCCCATGTCATACATGTGAACCTGTTCCACACAGGGACAAGCAGTTCTCCATCATCACCCACAGGACCTATTTTCCCACTTCATCAGAGTTCCTAAGACCTCCCAAGGACCTGCCCTCCTGTCCTGCCCACTGGCTAACCACTGTAGGCCTTGGTCTCTACGACCCCTCCCACCTTTCTTCAGCTCAAGACTTTGAATGATGCCAACCCTAACCCCCGCCCAAGGTCTTGCTTTGTCTATAACTGGGTGAGCAGGATGTCAGCCTGGTGCTGGGTCTTGCAGCTCTTCCTGTCACCCCACAGCCACCAGGGTGCTAGGATCAGTTTCCTCTTTGTCACGTGATACTGTTGAGTTGATAAGATTGATCAAAGGTGCTCCTAAATGCCCCAAACACAGGGCACCATGAGGGAGAGTGACAAAGGAGGATACATCACAGCCTGGACAGGATAGGAGGGTTGTCTAGTCTGAGTGAGATGGCCATGCATGAGGACCCTGAGCAGGTTGGGCGGAGCCTGAAAGACTGGCGTGGGGCATGGATATGGAACTGGCTGAGAGGCCAGCTTAGACCCTGGTGCTAGACTGCTGACCTTGGTTGCCAGCTGGGACCATGATAGGGCCAGGACTTGGAGGTAGCCATCTCCTGGCATCTGCCCACCATCTCATCTGTGCCCTATCTCACCACTGAGGGCCAGGACCAAAACACATAGACATATGAAACAATACCAGACCCACCCTCCAGGAACATGGAGTTTAAGCAACCATGGAAGTGGGCCAGAGAACAGGCCACCAGATGAGCAGAGGAGCCAAGCCTCCCTGGTTAGGGAGGCCATGAAAGGCTTCCTGGAGGAGGTGGCACTGCAGCAGAGCTTGAAAACTGGAAGAGTGAGGAAGAGGAAGGGCACAGCAGGTAGCCAAGCAGGCAGCAATGAGCAGTTAATCATTGGAAGTGCCTGAGGTTTGCAGGGCCTGGGCCTGCTCTTGTCTGTTCTCTCTAACACACTTTAAACAGGAGAAAACAGACTGGGTGAGGACTCTCAGAGGCCTGAGGTTCAGTGGCCACAGTCAGGATTCCCAATGGTTCCAGTACCTCCCAATTCCAGGACTGTCAGGCCAGTGGCTTCTGGGGCCTGTGAGTCCAGTCTCATTTGTAAAGTGAAGCGAGGCAGGAATTGTCACTCATTAGTTCCCAGGGGCAGCAAGAAGACATGGGTGGAGGGGCCTGGGCAACTACTCTGAGGATACATTCTCTGTGGGTCCTGGGGACACACAGGGAGCTATAGGAGGAAGAGGCGAAGCTGCCTGGCTGCCTAAGATGACGGCTTCGTGCTGGACTTCAGTATCCTCCTGTAACACGTGCAACGGGCCGTCCAGCACAGCCTGTGGCTCACATATCTGCCAGTATGGATGTGGGGGTACCACTGTCGGCAAGGGTGCCGAGGGCACCGTGCCTGGGCCGGGAGGGACCTACCTCAGCAGCTTCTCCAGGCCCCGTTTGCTAGCATTTCTCCTCAGGAGTGCGGGGCCATTCATGCTGCGGGCCTGCCCACGACGATGCTGGTGGCCTGGCCTGACCCCTGGCACTGGGGACACCGCCTGCAGCTTCAAAGGCTCCTGGTGCTGTGGCCCAAAATGCTCTCCTCTCCCTTCTTTCCCTTTCCTTCTCTTCTCTTCCCTTTTCCTTCGTTCTTTTCCTCTCCTCTCCTCTGCCCTGCCCTCTCTCTTCTCGTTCCTCTCTTTGTGTCCTTGTCCCTCTCTTGTCCCTGCCCCCTTCCCTGTCAGTCTGTCTGGTCTCTCTGGCTCTTACACCCCTTTCTTGTCTCCTCTGTCTGTCTGTCTGAAGGATGTCTGTCTGTCTCAGCCCCTACAGCCCCTGGGGGCAGGGATCTGGAGCTGGCTCCCAGATGGCAGCCCCAGGCCTTTCCACTGTCCCTGGGTCCTGTCTCTGTGGGTCTCTCTCCCCTCTCCTTTCTTAGGACGCTTAGCAGCTGCTTTCCTTTTGTCCCCCAGCCCCCTTCTCCGCCCCCTCGGTCTCCTCCACCTCCACCACCTCCTCCTCCTTCCGAAACTAGTAAAAATGTCAGAGAGAAACCCTCCCAGCCCCGCAGTGTGGGGGCCTGGCTGGACCTCCACGCCCGCTTGTGGGCAGCATGGTGGTATGCCCCCCTCAGACCATCTTGGCGGCTTCTGCCACTTCCCATCTCTCTGACCACCACTCCACTTTGGGTGCCTGGCCCACAGGTCACCTCCCCATCCTCAGAGCCTCTTGCCCATCTCTGCCTGCCCGCCAGTCCCTGCTCTGAGTCCTGCTCTCCCTGACCTGCGGCTCTCTTCTCCCAGGCCTGGGCCTTCGCTGCCCCTGACCTGGCTGACTGCCCCTCCTTGCCCTTTTCTTCTCTTCTGGCGTTTTCATCCCTATCTCAGTCTCCCTCCTACCTTCCCTCCCCCATTCCTTTCCCTCCCTTCTTTTTCTCCCTCCTCCCCTCCCTCTTCTCCCTCCCTCTGGGTCTTCTTTTTCCCTCTGTTTATTCCCAACTCTCTGCTCTTGTATAACCTCCAGGGGAGGCTGGGCACCCCAGGAATCTTCCCAGGTCGCCTAGTTGGGAGGCTACTGCCCTCCCCAGAACCTTAGGCTGTATTCAGATCAGGGATGTATAGGCACCACAAAGAGCGTCTTCCTTGGTGTAGGCAGCCAAAGTGCCCAGAGTGGTGGAGGGTACTCGGGTGGTGGGTGCCCTCACCAGCCAGCCCCCTACCCTATCCTCTGGCTCAGACCCAGGGACAAGCAGCCCAGCCCATTGTTTTCCTGGTTGGGCTTAGTCACTGTGACTCACTGGAGAACACTGGAGGCTAGTGGCGGCTGGGCTGGGAAGAAGTTGCCATGGGCCAGTTCTGGGCGAGTAGGCTTACATCTGGTGGCTTCTCAGATCACTTACACTCATAGCTGCGGACAAGCAGTACTGCTAGACCCATGAGCCAGATGGGAAAACCAAGGCTGGCCAACAGCACTGTGCCAGGTCACAGAGCCAGAGTCTGGTAGACTCAATACCATAGTTGGGTCTTTTGACTGCCAACAACTGCCCACTGTCTCCCTGTACACAACTGGCCCACATTATCCTCCATCTCCATACTGAGAGAGGTGGTAGACCAGGAAGTCAGATTGCAGGAAACCTACTGAGAACTACCGAGGACAGAGGAGAGAGTTGGAGTCTCATGAATGGATTACAGGTGGGAAGGAGGTATGCCTTAAGGTGACCACACAGATATAGTGTCACATGGATCCACAGCTCTAATATGCAGCAACCAAAAAGCTGACAACCCACCTTTTCTGCTACACTTGCTACAGGATGAGATCCAGCTGTTCTGAACACAGCAGTTACAGCATCTCCCTCCCCCAGCATCTCCCAGGAGAAGATGGAGTCCGGGTGTATAACAGAGACATCAGAGTCCACTGCCCTCTCCAACAGCACAAAGACAGTAAACAGCAATTCTGAAGTAATAAGGACGGGGCTGGGTTGAACCTCCCTCTGGTGAGTCCATGCTGAAGAGATTACCCAATGGAACCAGAGCTTGTGTTGCGCCTGTACCACAACTCATCACACCACCTCCTTGCCCCTGTATCTGTTCCAGCTAGACAGTCAGGAAATACACATAGTCAGGGCAACTTGGTTTCAGAAGAAGGAAGAATGTTTCCAGACATGGGAAGGATGCCTTAATTGGTGTGTGTGGGGGGGGAAGTTCCTATGAAGAAATGTAGAATGATTTAAGGTTTTGAAGCCATGACATGTTTGGACAAGTGGACAGAATATTTGATAATGGCATTACTGTCTATTATTTGTTCACCTATCCACCAATTTATCCATATATCATACGTGGATGTATACACTCACTCATACACCCACTCACCCATATACTCATTCTCACCCACATACCCATTCATCAGTCCATCCATCCATCCATCTTGTCTTTGTGGTGCTTGCATTTTTACTGTCTCACTTATCAACCCATCAAGTCGTCATCATGCTTATCCATTCCCCTATGTGAATACAACATATCCCACTATTCAGTCATTTGAAACAACATGCCCATGTCCATTCATCTTTCATTACATAATTTCCCCACTGAAA